GTGACATGAGTTTCCTGTTCCACACTGAGCTCAGCAGCTGGAACTGGAACTGTTTTAAACCATTGTGAATCCCATAGAAAATGACAGGTCCTGCATCCAGAGCGTGGGCTTCTCTTTTTTTCACCAGTCATTTCACATGGTAGGAGAAATTGTAAACAGCACCAACAGTGACATCATTATACTGTCCACTGGATACCGCAGTGTTCTTTTCTTTTTCTTCTTCCATGATCCTCAGAAGTTGAAGAGACGTGGCCAGATGTCATCATTGGTCCAGAGCTCTAATACACAGTCTCTGGTTCTCGTCTCATGGATTCTGTCTAATAATGTTTGGATGTTGGTACTCCATGAAGCCCAAACTATTAGATATGTGTGTGTGTGTGTGTGTGTGGGTGTGGGTATAGCTCGGGGGCACTGTTGCCATCTCAGTGAAGGGCAAAGGTCAGATAACGTTATTACTGAAATCTAATTGCGGCCCGGATGTAGATGGTTCACGGGCTGACTGTGGCCCACAGGCCAGCAGTTTGAGTCCTCTGTCTTTGCTGAATGACGTTAATAAATACATGTATAGTGCTTTTGTAGTCGTGATGCCTTGACCTGATGGTTTTTGTCATCTACCCCGGGGATGCCATATGCTGTAACCTAGGTTTGTCTGGAATCAAACCCACAACCCTGCAGGTATAGGACAACGTCAGTACCTGCCTACAGTACCTGAAATACAAGGTGCAACTTTGTAAAATGTATAATTATAGACTATCTGAATTTAAAATATTGTAATTTTTTTTTAAATTTTTGCTGTTATTTTGCAGTTCGAGTCCAGACATTTCTTTTTTCTAAAATTTTTTTTTATCCAGTGACTAGTGACCTCTTTCTAAACTTTATCTGCATTTATTCGTGTTGTTTTTTTAAAATATTTTAAGCAGAAACAGAGTCTTGTTAACGAACTCCTCAGTCTGTTTATCTCTCCTCTCCTCCCGCCCACTGAAAGAAGGAGGGGCTCCACGGCAGACTCCGCCTCCTCTGCTCTGACTTGTCCACAGTGTGATGACAGCAGGAGGCTGGGCTATCCCATGCATTATCTCTTCCTCACACACACACACACACACACATTCACACACACACACTCACAGGCCTGGACACACTCACATAAACACACTGACTAACAGCCAATACCAGCGCCCGTCGGCCTGCGCTCTCAGCTCCAGCTCAGCTGAAGCTGTTCTCCTGCTGCTGATCACTGAGAGCTAACAACAAACAGCTGCTTCAGCGGAGGAGGAGAGGAGGAACCAGGGAGGAGAAGACAAGTTGAGGGGAGAAACAGAACCTCCGACAGCCTCTTGTTTCCTGTGGACTCGTCCTTCAGGCGGGACTGTTGTTTCTGCTGTAGTTCAGGGACTTTTTTGGGGGGAAAAGGAGGAGGAGGTGCAGGAGTAAGAAGAGGGAGCAGGAGTGGGGCTGGATGTTCACATGACATAATCAAAGTGAATGGGTTGCCATGGTGACTCACGCAGGGAGCCTGACCCGTGTGGAGTGAATGGAGGGGAGAGCCTTGGACGCCAAGTGAAGGATAAACTAGTCGAGAGGAGTCACTGAAGAGAGAGAGCGAGGGAGAGAGAGGGAGAGGGAGGAGAGATTAGGGAGTTGGTGGATAAGAGAGGAGCACAGAGGAGCAGAGCAGAGGCTGAGAATGGAGGACGGATTTTCCAGCTACAGCAGCCTGTATGACACCTCGTCACTGCTTCAGTTCTGCAACGGTAAAAGAACTCACTCACTCACTCACTCACTCACTCACTCACTCACTCACTCACCCATCCTCTTCCTCCCCCATCCCTCGGCTCCTACAGCTGGGTGGTGTTTTCTCTGCTCCTGACATGTCATCAGCTGACTGGCTAAACTTGACACTGGACACTACTTGTGTGTGTGTGTGTGTGTGTGTGTGACTTTGGTGAAATGAGTTGCAGTCCAACACTGATGTGTGTTTGACTTCAAGATGTTTGGTTTTAAAGGAAGGTTCTGTTTTTGTCGGTGCTTGAATAACGTCAACACTGCATGCCGACCTGAGAGGGCGCTAATAAACAACGGGGGGAGGAAAGTGGAGGTAGAGGGCGCAGTGCTCACAGCCGGGTGCTGATTGTGTGATTTCTCCGGTTCTGCTCGCCCTCATGTGTGTCGTGTTATGAAGTGAGTTCTTTCCAGTCGGCCAACTGTGATTGGTATTGTGAGAGGGGGGAGAGAGAGAGGGAGAGAGAGGGAGAGAGAGGGAGAGACGCTGCGTACGTTCTGAGTGTTGTCCTCCAAAATGAAACTTTGTTTGCTGTCAGAGACGGAGAACATACTTCAGCCTGTGGGCGGGAGAGGGAGAGGAGAGGGGGTGAGGAGAGGGTGACTCAGGGATTACCAACAGCAGCATGACACATCAGTATGATGACATCAGTTTAGGATTTGTTTCCAGAGAAACGTCATTTTGTTCTTAATGAATAAATAAATAAATGCCAAAAGACGAAACTAAAATCCGCTCCAAACCTCCACAGAACAGACGTAATGAATAAATAAATAAATAAATAAATGCCAAAATACGAAACTAAAATCCGTTCCAAACCTCCACAGAACAGACATTCTAGAAATACCTCCAACAATTCTAATTACCTGAGTTATTTGGTTTTTCATTTCTGTTTTTCATTCATGTCAGACTGTGTGGTTTTTTATCCTCCATCCACTCCTCTGTATGTTGACGACCTTTTCCGCCTCACTACCTGGGTTTCTAAACGAGTTAATGTTTAACAGATATTGATTGAGCAATTTCACATCCAAACTGAAAGTACTTGAAGCAGACTGCACTGCATGTACTGTAGTGTACTTCTCTTTTACAATATGCTGGTGAGTTGAATACTTTGGTTTACTGTAGTAACTGGGTTTTGTTCTTGCTGCTGTCTATGATGTAGATTTTTCTGGTTAAATAAAGGTTCATGGATCAGAATAATGTTAGTGTTTGTCAGTGTGAACCTCAGGTGAACCTTTAATCCTATCAAACAAATGTTGAGTCAATGCTTTCAAAATTGTAAAAAAAGTACTTCACTCTGAATGTACACGCTTTGCAAAAATCCTGAATTCATTGAAAATTTGAAAATGATGCATTATGTATGCCAGAGCTCTGGGGCTGTGATTGGCTGTCGGTTGTTTGACTGACAGTCAACTGTGTATCTTCTACATGGTAATGTTTGGATCTAGGAGCGACCACAGCAGACTGCAGATGCACTCCATGAACTCGATGTCATTTGTGGAATGCATTTTTAGTCATTTAGCAGCACTAGTCACAGTGTGGCGCTGTTTAGCAGAAGTCATCAGTCATTTTGGAAGCAATGTAAATGGCGCTAGTCGTTAATGAAGAAATCAATAGCATTGACTGTGCTGTGTAGGCAGTGGAGTCAGAGATGGAGAAATACTGGAGAGGGAAGTGTAGACGTGGAGGAACACTGAGCTCTGATGGATCGACATGATGAATATAGAGCTGTACAGACAGGAAATAAACAGATTCACGTGATCGTAGATGGGAATCTAAATGTAGGTCTCATTAACATCCCTTGGTTTGTCCATAAATGCTAGTTAAAACAGGTGTGGGCGGTGTCTTATTAAATGGTAGCCAGCGCCACCTAGAGGGCCACAAATAAACTTTCAGTTTTCCACCTGTGGACCTCAACAGTCGTGGGACTGTAGATGTTATCAACTGAAGACAACGGAGTTTGTTATTGATGAAAAGTTCAGTTCCAGTGCAGCTGTAGCCAAAGAACATACACAGTCAACTTCTTTATATATGGATTTGGTTTATTAGTAAATAAAAATCAAACCATGAGTCAGGTTAGTTAGTTAGTTAGTTAGTTAGTTAGTTAGTTAGTTAGTTAGTTAGTTAGTTAAACCGATACAGTGTCAATACTGTATTTATATGTATTTATTGTATTTTATACCATAAATATTGGGCTTCAATATCAAGAAGGCCCAGAACCCTGTGTTACTGAGGTGATGGTGGTTAGAGGTGGGACGGTCGGTCCGACCTGAAAAACTGGTGTAGCCGTGCACAGAAACAGAAGCTTCACAGCAGTGTCTGATGGGAAATAACTTTTTACACTTACATTCACCCCTGTGCTCACTTTGGTGTGAACGGTTATTGTTAAAGTAGGACTGTTAATGGTTAACAGTGGGACGAAGCTGGACACAGGAAGACCACCAGGCTTCGACTTTTGAGTTTTTTTGTAGGGCAAGAGAACTAACCACTGTTCCACAGCGTAGACTGAAGTTTAAAACCCAGCTACCTGCACTGAGCGATGAAAAGAAATATGTGGCTGCAACGCTTGGAATGCATTATGACGTTAGAGCTGCAGCCAATAAAAAAGTTTATTGTTTTTTATCTTCAACCACTTTGTGCTGCTGAGACCAACAGAGAAATGGAACAGAAGTCAGCAGAGATTTGTTCCACCTTTATTTATTCATCTGTATTTACGACTGTAGTCAAATCCAAAGTCACTTCACATGAACTTAACCATCTCAAACAGGCCTTTGGACTTTTTGATCCAGGATTCGAACCCTGAACCTTCTTCCTGAGTTCTGGAGTTATTTCCATAAACGTTTATATACACTGTGTGAGGTCACCAACAACAATTAAAATATTTAACACAGTGAAATAAGGCAATTCAAGACACATCAATAAGGGTTAGGGTTCAAAGTCCAACAGGGACCAAAACCAGAACAAGTGGACATTGTTTTTAAGATCCTCAAACTAATCCTAAGAAAACCCAGTTCCATGGAACTTGGCTGTTGAAGGTGTAATCAGATGTTCAGACTGATGGAGTCCAGACGGAGTCCATCCATTATCTGTCCGATAGCTGGACTTGATCCATTTAGATTCAGTTCACTCGTGACTGTGGGCAGAGGGAGTGTGTGGTGTGAGTGTCTGTCTGAGAGTCGACTCAGTAAGAAAATGCTGTTACAGGAGACGATGCCAGAGATTTAGTACCCCCCCCCCCCCACTACCTCTCGCAGTCACAGTCAAATGAGTAAGAGTGTGTGCACACACACCCTCAGTACCAGGGTGTTTGTGTGTTTGACTGTGTTGGGCCTGTAGGCCAGAGTGACGTTGTACTCTTCTGCTGTAGCTGAACCCAAATCTGCACAGACTAAGAGTCAATGATATCATTTATTTTTGTCTCTCTGTCTCCCTCATTTTCTCCCCCACTCCTCACCCGTGTGTTGCCGAGCGTCCAACCAGATTAATGTTCAGAGACGAGGTCAGCTAAACTGCACAGAACAGCGGAGGCCGTGCACTGTCCTCAGGGGGTCTGTTAGCTTAGGCTAACAGGAAATTAGCTTCATCACACTCTGACCTCCACACCCCCACACACACACACACACACACTGATTACAGCGTATAAAGGGAGGGAGGTCTTTCCAGCATCTGTTGTTTTGTTGGTTTTTTTCCGTGTTAAATCACATTTGGAATCTTCTGGGTCTGGAGGACAAGCTGCTGTGGATTGAATTAGTTTGTTTTGTGCTCCAGGTAATTTGATTGCTGCTTTGCTAAAATAATTTACTAATGTCACCAAGTCAGCTTTAAGTAGAAAGACAACATTTGATGCTCTCAACCCATGTAGACCTTTGCCCATGTGGACCTTAACCAATTCCCAACCTTGTTTTTTTTTTTTTTTTTTTTTAAAAAAGCCTTTTATTCTTTTTGGTATTTTCAATCATTTTCATCAGTTTTGTGATAATTTTAAAATCAATGTGCAATGAAATAATAAAAAAAAGAAATTTAAAGATTTTACATAAAATAGACCAAATCAATACAGCAGAGAAAAGTGTTTCTTTGTTGTGGTTCCCAAAATGATGGGCGGGGCCCCTTGCAGGGTGTGTAGTTATTGTTATCATTTTTATTTTTCTTAAGAATACCTTTATTGGTTTGTTTGGAGAAAGTTAGGTGAAGATTTGAAGCAAAAGCTGTGAAAATCAAAATGTCAAAATGAGGGGCGGGGAGTTGATAATGGTCCTATCTACAAAAGCCCACACAGAAAACCTCAACAGGACAGGACTTGATATTTTATAATAGATTTTGTAATAAGTGACCCCTGCTGGACTCTCTGCATATCTGTGAGGGTTTAAGGCCTGAATTCAACTTTTAATAAAACATCTCCTGTATCTTTATTCTTTTCTCGCCCACATCACATTTGACTTTGACGATTTCTTCCCATATTTTTTCATTTCTTCAGTGCTGCTGGCGTATCATCTGCATATAAAACATCCCTGTATAAACAGTGGGAGGAGATGGTGTAAGAAAAGTGTGTGTATCTCCACCCATGCTCATCTGTAACTCATCTGCACAAACGTCATAAATAATTATCTGAGTTGAGGCTGATTTTTTTTCCCCGCCTTTTTTGGAACACGTCTTTTTTTCTTTTCCTTCTACGTGTTGCTGTTTGTCTTTTCATTTCCATCGTATCTCTGTAGGCTGTGCTCTCTGTCTCTCTGAGTTTGATCTTTCAGTCAGAGCCTCTTGTCGAGGGCCTGCTTTTTCTTACTTCAGATATTTGAGAAGCACAGTCTCACCATGAGTCATGCTCCCTCCTCTCTCCCCCCTCTCTCCCCCCTCCTCCCTCCGCTCCTTATCTGCCTTAACTTTATTTCTCCTCTTCTCCTGATAACATAATGCCTTGCAGTTTGATTCTGCAGATCAGTCCGCCATTTACCGCCATTAGTGAGAGATAGAGCC